TCTCTTTATTTTATTAATACACCTGCGTTTTTGATGTTTATTCAAAAGTAAAAAAATATTTTTTTCTAAATAATATTTCCCGAAATTGGGAATTTAAATGGTTAATGAAATTTAATATAAAAATTTACGTTGAATTGTAGCAAAGAATTTTAATTTTTTTTAAATTTATTATTATTATAATGGTAATTTTAAAAAAATAATATTTTCGGCAAAGAACAAGGACTATTTAATAAATATCATAGAATTAAATAATTTGATACCCAGGTTATCTATAAAACCCGAACTATTATAGAAATTAAAGATAAATATAAAAATCAGAAATGTGAAAAAAATTTATCGAAGCATAAATTTTGAATGGTTAAAGCATCATTGGTTCGGTGTATATAAAATTCATTAAATATTTAATTTTAATTTTAAATAAAATTCATTTTATTAAATTAATCATCTTCTTTTCAATTCTTCTTCAAAATTATTCTAAAATAAAAATTTTTATTTTTTTAAATTATTTCTAAAACCGTTAAGCCGTCATTTATTATTACAACAACCATGGTTTAAACATCCACCTTGGTAATTTTCACAAATTTTATTCCCTCGACATTTCAAATCACATCCATAATTATAACAATTAAAATCTGTACAACAATCTTGAGTGTTGACTGTAGTTATTCCAACAATAAAAATTAAAGCAAAGAGAAATATTAAATATCTCATTTTAATTATTTTATTTTCTAAAATTTTGTTTATTTTTTTTAACTTACCTAATTTAAAAAGTTAAATAAAAGACTGTCGTGATTGCTTGCTAGCCGGCTTTGCATAAACCTTACACTTACAAATTAGCATATTACCTGTAAACTTACCTAAAGAGCTTTTACTGTCTTTATTTTTTAACTTGAAGCATTTTAACCAGGCCTAATAAATACTGCCAAATCCGTTACAATGACGTCTAAAGACTAAAATGATTTAATAAAATAACTTATTTTCCTAAAAAAATTTTGGTCCTATCCTTAACATTCAAAAATTAAAAATTGTCGTTTGTTACGTAAATCTAATCATAAAAGTTTATCATCGCAGTAAATATCTGTTTATAATAATTAGTAAATTTATATTATTTTTTCAAGTAGATTAATTCTACTTTTCAAAAATTAAATTAGGGTTTGACCTTGAAAGTTTGGGGTCGAAAAGCTCAGGATTGAATGGGGCCGGGATCCAACACTAACTTACAGAATTATAATTCTTTTTAAATAAAACTATGAATGCTTTTAAAATTTCTTTTTCATTAATAAGAAAATGATTAAAATTTATTTATTAAATGAAGCTTTCACAATGAAAATTAGATTTAAATATTAAAAGGAATTTATTCAATTTTATTTCCTTTGTTATTTTGTTGGCCACTAAACCATATGATAATTTAAAATTTTTTATTGAAAACAATTGTTTTGGTATGATTGAATTTTAATAAAAAAAATTTTCTTTTATGAAAATAAATATAAAAATTAAATTTTAACATTGGTTTACTAAGAACAACGTTTTTTGATATATTTGTGAAGGAAATAAGGAAATATTTAAAATAATTTCTTAGAGTGGGATCAGAGGTGGGTCGGAATTTCGATTTCCGACTTCCGACGTTTTTTCCTTGCAATTTCCGATTTCCGAAAAAGATTTTGATTTCCGATTTCCGGCTCTTTCGATTTCCGACACCTCTGACTGTTCCGAATCTGAAAATATTTCCAAATAATAAACTGAATCAGAAAGGAATTTCTTTTACAGATTATATTGAAAAATTGAGATAATCTCAAAAATGTAAATGTCGCTTTCTAGAAAAAAATCGTGCAATAAATTTAAAAAAAGTAAATTTAAAAAATATAAAATTATAATACAAAGTTCTAATTCGGTGAATTAATTAAGCAAAAAATTCCTAGAAAATGATAAATTCATTAAAGTTTATTAGTAAATAAATGATTAATCTATTTTTTGGGTATAAAAATGTTTGAGAATTTTTGAAATTAAGATATTTCTATGTACAAGATTACTTTTATAAATATGTAATTAATATTTAATTTTTAAATAAATATTAAAATTTAGAAACAAAAATGCGACATTTACTTCTACTAATGTTGATACTTTGTATTATGTTAACTTCAATCATTTATGCTGAAAATTGCTACAATTTGAATTGTGGGGTCAACTGCTTCAGAGGTGGAGGCTATTTAGGAGCTTGTGTAGCAGCTGGATGCTGCAATAGTGGATGATTTGTAAGAAAAATCAAAATAGGATTTTATTATTTCTTTATTTTTAGCTTTTGATTATCCTGCGATTTGAAAAGAAAATTTATAGATGATAATTAAGTGTAATAATTATTAATGTTAACTTTTAAATTAATATTTTAACTAATACGATAAAAATTAATTTAAGTCTTAAATTTTTTTAAGATTAAATATTGTAAGGATAATGCAGATTTGAAGAAGCTTACTAGATAGTAAAGATTAGGGTAGCTACTGAATCATTGAAATGATGAATTTTAGGGGCCAGATAAATCAAAAAATTATCACCCCGAACTCCGACATAGCTTCCCCGGCAGAGCCAGATCCCTGACACTTCCGACCTCGAAGGCTCGGATTGCTTCCCTAGTGAAGATAATGAGTAACTGGGAGGTTTAGATGAGTAACTAGAAGGGGTCTGTAAGTACTTCTGGTTAAAAAACGATCAGAAGCGTTTCATATATGTATTTATAATTTTTTGAATAGATTTTTGAGAAACCGAGACAATTTCTAAAAAATCGAAAGTTGATTTTTCAGAAAAAGATATGTAATCAATTATTTTAATTAAAATTAGTTTAAATGATTGTAAATAAATTTTAAAATCTAATTAAACGAAATAATTATACAAAAAATTCTTTAAAATGATTACGCCATTTTATTAAAGATTTATTATTCTTTATTTTAAAAAATAAATGATTAATTTATTTTTTGGATATAAAAATGCTTGAGAGTTTTGACTGTTTCACTATTCAAATTAAAATAAAATAAAATTTAGAAAAAAATGAAAAATTTACTTTTAATGTTTTTACTTTTGGTTGTGTTAATGACAGTCGTTTATGCTAACATAATATGTCTAAAAATGAATTGTGACCTAAACTGCTCCAAAGCTGGAGGCTTAAGAACAGTTTGTGAATCATCTAAATGCTGCAAAAGTAAATGATTTATAATTAAAATTAAATTTTATTATTTTTTAATTTTAGAATAATTATCCTGTGAGTTAATTTGAAAATGATGTTGAGAAGTTTATCTTTAGAGAAGAAAAATTTATAGATGATAATTTTATTTTAAATCGATAATTAATGTTAATTACTAAATGAATATTTGAACGACTATAAAAATTAATTCTTGTCTTTAAATTTATTGGAAAATTTAAATATTGTAAGGAAAAGGGGGATTTATGAGGCTAATTTTTAAGATACCTGGACGGGGTTAATGAGCAGCACAATAATTGAAATGTAAAGCTAATCTTATTAGTATCTAATTGTTATCTAAGCTGTAAAGTGATTTTTTTAAAAATCATTTTAATGAACATCAATCATGATTGAGCGTATATTCACTATATACATAGATATTTTCTATTAATTTATAAAACGAGAAGAAATGAGTTTTTATTTTTTCGTCAACGAGAATTCAATATTTATTTAAACTCCTAATTTTGAATGTGAAAAATGATAAAAGTTTGTGAAAAGTTTTTTTAATTACACAGTAAATTATGAAGTTTCAATGCTAACATTGTCATAGTTCATTTCCATACTATATTTAAATTAATATTTTTGTTTAATTTTGACTTTTTTTAATTAAAAACCGTTATAGTCATGTTTTCGATAAAATCTTAAAAGAACTGGATGTTATTTTACAATAATAAAATAATTTTATATTTTTTTATTCCAACATTATTAAATGAAAATTTTTGAAAACAAACAAACTAGTTAAAACTGCCACCCGAATTTTGATGATATTGAGCATAACTTTTTTTCTAGAAAGGCTTTAAATCCATATCCTTACTTGCATAAATATAGACTTTTAGACAGGCAAATTTATAAACAAATAACATCAAAATTGGCCAATTTATTTAAAAAAATTATGAAAAATAATGTATATTCGGCCAAATCCTTTAGGTTAGTTTAAATCATTGCAATAATTTTGTTCAAATTTTATATCATTCCATGAATAAATATACATATATGTATAATTATTATGTATTTTGTTTTTATAAATTTAAACCCTTTTTACATATTATTAATAAAACCGAATAATCATGACTGGAAATATTTTATTAATTTAATTAAGTAGAAACAAACCTTAATTAACCCATTTAGCAACACTTTATTGCTTGACAAGTTAACTTTTCAAGAGGACAAATTCGAAATAACCAACAATTGGCTGTACAGAATTTTGCACAATTAAAAAAGCCACATTTCTCGCCGTAAGACTTTAATATTAAAATTATTAAAATAATAAAATGAATAATAAATAAGGATTTCATTAAAAATAATTATATTATTTTGGCAACTTTAAATAAAAATTAAATATTATTTAGTGTTAATTTTTTAATCCTTATTTTAAATAAATAATAAAAATATTCCTCTTTATTTTTATAAAATATATTTATAGAATTAAATATCTTTTGAAGTTTTTTGTATATTTAATGTCTAACATCATTTAAGCCACGTTTATGAATTTATTAATAAACAGTTATCACTATCGAATTAATGTTTAAAATTAATAAAATGAATGCTTATTTAATTTTATTGTTACTACATCAAAACTTTGGAAAATTACGTCATTTACATATACATATTTTAGAGATTTATAAATTGTTTTAGAGACAAATTAATTATAAATATTTTTACTTTTTTTTTAAATTTCTTCTTCGAAAAATTTCATTATTTATTTTAAAGCTTTAATTCAATTTTAAAAAATTATCCAAAGTTTTTGAATTTAAAATTAAGGAAATTAGACATGCTTCGAGTAATTGCTATTTTAATGATGATAATAGTTTTAATAAATGGAAATTGTGAAGATATGAATTGTAAATATTTTTGTGAAGAGTGTGAATTGTCTAATCCACACGCTTGTATATTTGGGTATGTGCCTTGTTATAAAGAAGGATGTTGTCCTAAGTTAGGTAATTAATTAAAATAAATATGTATCTAATCTTTCTTTTAAGATGAAATTGCTGCACGTTTAACAACTGTTAAATCAACTAGATCAACTCAAAAAGAAGAAATATTATGTTGATATATGCAGCACATATTGTTCAAATGAAGATAATAATGTATATTTATTTCCTAAATAAAATATTTTATTTGTTAAATTGTTTATTTTAAGGAGTAATTTAAGTGATTTATATTATTTCAAATCCATTCTTATCTTAACAAAATGCCCAAAACTCACAAAAAAAATAAATTATTGTCAAACAATTTTTATGAATTGTTAGAAGCATAAATAAATTAATTATAAATATTTTTAATTTTTTAAAATCTTTTCTTCAAAAAATTTCATTATTTATTCAAACCCTTAATTTGAGCTTAAGAAATTATTTGTAGTTTTTGAAAAGGAAATTAATCATGCTTCGAATAATTTGTCTTTTATGCTGATATTACATAGTTTTAATAAATAGAAATTGTAAAAATCTGGAATGTAAATAATTTATGAAGTGTGAATTTGACAAATCCATTCTTTGTATAAAGGGAAATGTTCATTGTTATATTAAACGATGTGGATATCCCTACTATGTATATGAAAATGATAATATTTATATCAAAGGTAAAAATATAAAATGTGTAATAAACCCAAAGAAAAACATTTAAATGGCTTGTTAATTTACAATTACAATTCGAAGCTTAAATTTAAATTTTAATAATAATGAAAACTTTAAGGTTAATATTTAAAATTTAAATAGTTAGAAATAAATAAAAATGATTTGAAAAGATGAGAATTAAATTCCAATTCAAAAGAAAGGCAGATTTAAGAAGAGTTTCTCAGGAATTTGTGTTTTAATCATTGAAATCATTGAATTAATCATTGAATTAAACACAAAAAAGCGTGGGTGTTTGCTAAATTTCTTTAACCGTCTGTCAATTTCTCCATTATTAGAGAGAAAAATTGGCAGCTAAAAATAAAGTGTATATTTTAGCTTTGCTTTGTTGCATGTGAGGAGATTTTTCAATTAAGAGGGGACAAAAATTTACATAAGGAGGATAATTTTTAATTTAACAATAGACTTTAGTGTATATAAATTTTTTTAATAATAAAAAAATTAATTTGATGATTTAAATGATTAAAAGAGCGCCGCCCTAGCTTTCTCGATTCCATTACAATAACTCCTAGTTTTATTTTTTCTAAACTTTTTTGTAATAATACTAAATATTGGTCTATACTAAATATTGGTAGAAAAAATTAGGTTTTAAATCTATTTTCCGATGAATAGCCAATATTTAAGTTAAAAATAGATTTGCTAATAATTCACTGTTTTTATCAAAAGGTAGTATTAGATATTGGAAGCGATTATTCAAAATAAGGTGTAAAATAAAGTTTGAAACCAAGTTTAAGCATAATTCCCAATATCAAAAGAAAGGCAGATTTAAGAGGAGTTTCACAAGAATTTGTGTTTTAATCATTGAAAATTTTCCTCGTGGGTGAAAAATTTTCTTTAACTGTCTGTCATTAGATAGAAAAATTAGCAGGTAAAATAGTGTGTATACATTTTTTTATTTGGCTTTTGGGGAGGGTAAGGGAGATTATTCAATTGGGGGGTGGGGGGGGGGGGGGGGGGGGGGGGGTAAGAATTTGCTTGGTGGGGGGATATATTAAAGTAAATCAATTCCCCACTACCATTAATAGCTATTATTTTATTTTAAAAATTTATTTTCTTTAATTTTACTTTTTTAATTTTACTAAATTTAAAAATAATTTAGCGGTTTTATAAAATTATTTTAATGATAAAAGTTTTTGAAATAACGAAGATGTCCTAGAAAATTATTTGAATTTAATTAAATAATAATTTATTTTTGGGGAGAGTAAGGGAGAATTAAATAATTATTTATTTAATTAATAATTATCATAAAATTAAGATTTCAAAAATATTTAAAGACAAACTGAAAAATGTTTGGAAAATTCCAAATTTTTCTTTTAATGTTTTTTTCAACAAATTATTTTCTACTTTGCAAGGGAGGTCGAAATGACAATTCTAATTCAAATTTATTGAATGGCGAAAGTAAAAAGTCATATTCACCCATTATCCCTAGCGTTACAAAACTTTTTACAAAGTTTAAGAAGAATCTTTTTCCTTCAAATAATCACAACGGAGGATATGAGGTATTTGGAGAAAATTATAGAAATGGAGTTTTTATAAATGATGGTTTAACAAATAGTAATCCTGATAAATCAGATGCAAAGAGAAGGAAGTTATTAGAAAGCTTGTCTAGTAAGTTAAATTTATTTGAATAAAATTTTAACAATTTAAATTACCATTAAATTTGTTAAAAAAAATTTTTTTAATAATTAAAAGATATATATTCAAAACAGACTTTATTTTGTCACAAAACTCGATTTTTTGTATTTGAAAATAAATAGTAGGTAAATAAATGAAAATCCAATGTTTGTATAGCCAATGTAATCTTCCCTTTCATATTTTCTGCCGAATTCCGCTTTAAAAATGTGTAAGAGTCTGCCGCATAAAATTTTTAATGTTAAAAATTAGGTCCATTTTTCTTAGCTTTAAATAAAAATAAAAGAGAAAATTTATATAAATATTATTAATAAAAATTTGCATAGAATCATCAGCCTCGTCTTCGAGCAAACCAACATTCAACAAATCATCGTCTCGCAATAGTGAGGGTGATTTATTGCATTCTTTACATCATGATAACCAAATCCGTAAAAATGATTCTCAAAGCTTGTCACTACGTTTCCCACAAAATCACCGCAATTCTGGTTATGGATTACCGTATTTCCTATATTAGAGCCCCACCCTCTGTTAGAGCCCCACCCTCTAATACAGCCCCACTTTGGAGGATATTTGAAAAATAGAGCCCCACCCTCAATTAGAGCCCCACCCCTAATACAGCCCCACCTAAAAAATATTGAAGGAAAAATAAAAAATATCCTAATAATTTTCAGATTATTAAAAGAGTTAAGGTAATAAAAGGCCATGGGGTTATAGGGATTAAGAGAATATGAGGGGATTAACTAAGGGGATGAATTTAATCCTTAAAATGCCAAGATATCCCTTTTATCCCCGATATTCCTCTTCATCAAACAAAATCCCTTCATATGCCTCCTAATACCCCTAATTCACAATATCCCTCTTAACCCTGCTAAATCTCTCAATATAAACTTAATTCTCTGATATTCCCCATAATCCCTTAAAATCGACTTATGATTCATCGATGTCAAATACAAGTCCCCTAATATTACCTTTAATCCGTCCAAATCTACCAATATTTCATAATTAACTTTCTCTCATTAAACTATAGCGACTATTTTGTTACTCATTGCTTATAAAGTCTTAATTTTTTTGAAAAATTGAAAAATATCGATTCTCTTTCGATATTTTTCGGTTTTAACGGCCAACCCCTCCGGCCTATCTCTAGTTTCAATGGATATAATAAATGAGATTTCATATCAAATGAGGGTTGAAAAATAGAGCCCCACCCTCAATTAGAGCCCCACCCTTTAATACAGCCCCACTTTGGAGGATAGTTGAAAAATAGAGCCCCATGGGGCTCTAATATAGGAAATACGGTATTTCCTTTCGAAAATAATTATTCAAGCCACCGACATACAGCAGGTATATTTCTTTAATTTACAAATTTAGTAGTATAACTTGATTCTCAAAAATAAATAAAAAATAATACATAATTGTGATTTTTAAAATATAATGTTTATTTAATTATTAATCATTTTTAGAGACATACCCCGTTTTTGGAAGTCATGAATATTCTAATTCTGACAACTTGGTTGGTGATATAAATGTCCGAAATGCTGCTCCACACAACAATTTCGGTACTTTATTATAATTTTTAATTAATATTATAATTCAAATCAAATTTAAGGAATAGAGGATGTAGGCAATCCTCCAAATTCTCCTGAAAATTTGATTAGTTTTGATGATTAATTAAATCATTGAATGTTTAGAGATTTTGAAATGATTGTTTTTGATTGTCAGACCTCGATTTTACGTGCATCTTTGGGGCTAAGAAAATTATAAAAATGTGATGCTCTAAAATTGGTGGTATCGCTTAGATGCTTCCCCCTTTATTACTCAACAAAATTTATCAGAAATTTAGGGTATACGTAAAATTGAGGATGAGTAAATGCATTTTGATTTTAGAATTTTTTAAAGATTTTTATAGACATTTTATTAAGTTATACATCACTAGGGGGTTTATTTAACATCGTTTTTAAGATCACAACCTGGGATTTTATGTTTTATTCTAAATTTTTTCGGGTCGCGTTTTTGCCTAAAATTCGTAGGTGGTTGGGGTTTCGGGGGATTTATTTTATTTAAAAAACTTCCTTATATATTTTATAACCCAAAAATTTATTTTTATGTTATAGGGGTGTTATTTTATGTATTACATTTTTAACATATTATTTAGTTGACTTACGCAAACATGGTTCAAAAAATTTATTTGATTTAGCTTAACATTTTTTAATTTAGATAAAAAAGTCAACTAAATTATTTAAAAATTTTTATTTTCTATTTACTAAAAATTAATATTATTTTTTGATATTTAAAATTTTTCTTCATTTAGCATAAAAAGGGTATAGAAATAATTGAATATCTTTAAAATTTAAACAGTTTATTTATAAAAATAAAACAAAAAAAAAATTATTAATAATCAAATTATTTTTTATTATCTTTGTGTTATATAGTGTTGGCAGTTACAGAGAAATCTCCGGATATCGGAGATCGGGACCGATATCCGTTGGAGTCCGATATTTTCTTATAGAGATCCATATCCTCAATGTTCTAAATTATCTGTTCCATAAAATTGTGTATATACATATTTGGAATTAGGGTACAGCCCAAGTAGGCGCGCGGCCAAGTAGGCGCAAAGCCATAACTTGCTTCCAGATTTCCGAATTTTAACAAATTTAGTATTAAACGATTCCTCTCAACGAGCTAAAGAGATTGATACCAAAATTGATAAGGATCAAAAATTTTCAAGGTAGTTATGGCTTTGCGCCTACATGGCCGCGCGCCTACTTGGGCGTGTCCCTTGGAATTAAAA